TCTTTCATAACTTCAGTGCTAAAGGGTTTCCTAATTTGCATGTAAAAATTAATTCTGTTTGTCACTGGATATGCTTTTCTTGGCCAAAAGCGTATTCTCTCCGGCTTGTTTTCAAAACAGAACAGCTGTTTTGTGAATGTAACTATCGGAAAGCTATCTGGAATAATTGCACTCCAGTAACTTCAGCACCCTCATACCTGGCATGAAACTCGTCAGAGATTTTTTTTTTTCCATGCCTTCCTGTTGAACTTCAATATAGGGTTTGCATTTCCTTTTTACACAAACTGACTTTACTTGTGGAAATGAATGCCAAACTTGGTAATCCCCTCCAGTGTCTGCCAAGATGCCTCTGGCAGGCTGCGTGCCGGGGGAGCCCAGCCCTGCTAGGCAGCCCGTACCCTCTGTGGTGTCTCAGTGTCCTGCAAGTTCAGAGGGCTGTGACTGCCTGCTGTGTTCTTGGTTTCATATATGTTTACGTTTTGAGGATGCTGTTACTGTTTGTTGGAAATATCACTAAGAATGTGTATTTGTCCCCTTGTGTGAGTGGATAGTCATACTTAAGAAACTGGATAGCTCAAGTCTATATGTAAGACCATACAGCAGAGCTTCTTAGGGTAGACACCTGGGTAGAGGGCAGGGCAGGGGTTTGTGCCAAAGTGGACAATGAAGCAGGAGCAGTGTCTAGGATTCATTGTGAGTTTTTTGTGAAGACTAAGAATTTTGCGGCTTGCTCACTAGGGAGTACTGGGCCGCAGTGATAACTTGGGATCTGAGTAACTGCAGGCAGCTTTCTGCTGCTACGCCTAGGTCTTCGTTGCACAACTGGAGCCCTGGGGCTGGCACAGCCCTGCTGCTGGGGACTCGGCCTGTCACTCAGCCTCTCAGTGTGACATTTGCATGTGACAGCTTGTGGTAAGGGCTCCGGTGCTGCACCAAACCTCTGCACTGGCAGGGCGTTTCGTGGGACCAGACCTGCTCCACACAGCAGGGACGCTGTGGGTGGCTGCAGCTAAAATAGATGTAGCTGAGCACATCCTGAAATGGAAATGGCATTTGGATAAACTTTTTCCCTGGGATCTGTACTTGCACATTTACACTCTTTTGAGTTCATGAAAGTCACTTTGGGTTTGTGTTACTTGACAGAAATAGGACAAGTGTTCTAAAGGGTTGTTGTACCTAAATGTGGCAAATAAGGAATAGATTTTTCAGAGTTAATGAAGTAAAAAGGTTAAAAAGAACTTAGCAGAAGTATTTGGTGGTCAGAATCATTCTCTTCACTCACTTCCACAGGAAGAAACAAGTATCTTCCATGCTGTGCTTAGTGGAACTGTGCCAGTAAAACTGGTGCAAGTTGTCACTTACATCTAAATAAAGTCACAGGACCCTACAGGAATTATGTTAATACTTTTGTAATGTCTTACTAGCTGGAAGAGAACGGTACTGCTTTCCTCATTTGATTAATACTAACCTCTATAATATGCTGAGATAACTGTAATTTAGTACACTTTGCATTGTCTCTCCATACACACTATAGACAGAGTAAAAACATGTTTCTCTGTTTTTTGATCAGACACAGATTACTTAAAAAAAAAAAAACAAAAACAAACCCACCCTGCAAAACAAACCAACCCAAAGAAAAAAAACCCCACCACTCTCCAAAAAAACCCTCAACAAAGACTAAATAGTCTATAAAGAAACTCAAATGCTAAATGGACCCTAAATGTTATAATTATACTTCTGCTGCACTTAAAAATTGTTTAAGTGTCACATGCACCTAAAATTCTGTGGTGCAGCAGAGACATGGAAAGAAAGCCTTTTAAACTTTGTCGTCTGTAATTTTAAGAAATTGACCATTGGTAAGTATGCCAAAAAGAAAACATCTTCAATGTGAATAATACCTTTATAAAAATAGCTTCCTGTTTGTTCTGTGACTGTTTGCAAACCTGACTCAGGCAGCCTACTTAGACTGGCTGTGAGTGTAATACAGGTTCTTTTGCAGTTTCATGTCAATATAAACTGCATTATTTGTCTGCTCAGCTTTCTCCATTTTATATGCTCAGGTTGAAATCCCTTATGATTTGGCACATTGTTCTCTTTCTTCGTGTTCCACAAAACTTAAGTAACATATCAGGCTCCATAGTGAATCTGGAAATACATTAACAATGTGTAGGTGAAATTACTGTGGGTTCCATTAACAGAGTAGCAATATCCCATAAAGAATGGTAGATTATCTTTTGCTTGCTAAACTGTACTTGTACGCTGATTTAATACTTTGACTTAGTAGCTATGGGAGGAATTTGATGCAGCCCACATTTTGTCATTTACATCATTCTGTCAAATACAGATTTCTGAAATCCTTGCTGTTAGCATTCCTCAGGAAGGAGTAGGTGTGAAATATGTCTACCCCAAACCAAATGCCGTGGTTACAGTCAGTGCTTGACCAGTCACCTAGGAAACTTTCAATAAGGGATTTACTTGGCTTGGTGATGCAGTCTGGTATGATCAGATTTTTCCAGTTCCCTCTAATTTAAAAATGCAGTGCTTGAACAAAAAGTTAATGGTAACTTAATCTCTTCCATGGAGAAAAAACCTATCCATTATTTTCAATTCTGTTTTAGTCATAGTCTAAGATACCATGTTCTTTATTCATTTTGTGGTGACTCCTGTAGAATTACTTTGGATTGCATGACCTTTAGAATAAATAATTTTCTAGGTATTGAGCTATTGTTGCTGTGTTTATGTCTATCTATGAGTCAGCGTGTCTGTGAATGCCTTACACTGTAATCCTCTGTGGAGGTCCTCCTGCCCTTCTGAGATGTATTAATGGGATTTTCTTCTGGTTCTTGTGTACAAAAGACTACTAGCACTTAAGTGAGAAAAAGATGGATCAAAACTGTTTTCCTAAAATTTTTGGGTGTTGAAGTTGAGTTGATTGAAGCATTTTAAATATTTCAAGTTTCTTCTTTGCTGTGTATTGTATTGCAGGAGTGTCAGTCTGGTTCAGTAGAGCCAGCAGTTAAAATCTTCACTAGGACTGTTGAGCAAAAGGAGGAAGAAGAAAAAAAAAAAAAAAAGCTGTTGCAGGATGTGAGAGAAATCCACAAAATTGTGCGTGATGGGGAGGGCAGGTAGAAATGTTGTCTGTAGTTGAAGAATTTGGGCAGTGTCAGACAAAAACTGCAGGAGCCCTGCTCAAGGTACAGAGTAGGTACCAGGCATTAGTGGTGCTGTCACTGCTTAAAGGTTATGTCAGTTCAAGGAGCGACTAGGTAAGAGCAAGGTCACAAAGTGGACCAGGTGTTTTGGAATATATGGAAACCCCATCCAGGTCAGGGAAACCCATAAATGGACTGGGAGAAAAAGCAGAGAAAGCATCATACATGCTTGTCTTATCCTCGCTTTTTCCTCATGTACCCATTATAGCTGCTGTTGAGGATGGACTTGCCAGACCACTGTCTGACCTGGTAGGAGTGTTCTTGGAAGAGACCTGTTGACTAGGGCTGAATCTAAGCCTTATTTTAGTGGAAAAAAAAATCAGTAGCTCCTGAGACTATTTTCCATAGTTTGTGTGCTGTGGCTATTTTAGACAGACTTGAATTTCATTAGAACAAGTGTTTTTTGTGTTGCTCTCCAAACTATGTCTGTGCTCCTACACGTATTTTTGCTTGATTGAGTGGAGGTACACTTGAAGCACCCTGGTGCTTGGCTGCAGAGTGTTGCATGAGTAACTTGAAAGGTGCATTTCTTCTGCAGATCATAATCTTGTGTGTTAATTCTACTGGTGTCAAACAAAATGGCAAGCAGTGGTTGATTTGAACACACTCAGGATGAGATTTTGGGTGTCTGAGGGCTGCTAAGTCTGTGGTGGTGGACAAAGCTGAAGGGTTAATAGGAATGTTTTCCCAGCAGTCATTTCTAGCATGTTACTGTGCTGGTGAAGATAAACCCAAAGGATATTTTTTGTGAAAGTGAAACAACAACAGACACTGTGTCTGGAATGCTCATTAGAGGCAGTTAATTTTACTTTCTTGTAAGGATGGATCTCATGGGCTCTGTTTAGAGGGCAGCTGTTGCTTGAAGTCAGACCAAATTGGGGAACTGCAGTGTGCTCTGGGATCCAGGCTGGTCTGATGTTGGATAGGGGTACTGTCTTTCTCATAGCTTTGAATTATGTACCTTGATTATGCAGCACGTTGCATAGGCTGCTGGATGTTGTTCAATAGTTTAATCATGAAGCTGTTTAGTGGGAATTAATGGCCCTATTTGAACTATGTCAAAAGCCTTGGGATATGAAAAGGAAATTGGTTGCACGGTCATTTGCCTGCAGTAAGAAGGCAAAATTAGCACTGCTATAATTTACAGAGCCTCTGAATAAAAAAAACAAAACCCTTGAACCCATTCTTCATATTCTTCATGAAAACAGCAAAAACCACCAACCATAAAAACCAGTCCCCTAACATGCAGTGTTCAGTGCTTTTAAGTCCTGCCGAAACCAGGACACTGCCCAAGGACTTAAAAGCGTTGAACGCTGCCTGTTGTGGGACTGTTTTCCATAGTTTGTGTTTTTTGCCCTGTTTTAATGAAGAATATGAACCACTTGTTTTCAGGTTGTTACTGAGGTTGAGGTTCTCTGGTACCATTCAGTCCCGTGATAAGAAGTCACAGGATTAGCTCAGACTGAAAAGTAATAAATTATTGAAGATTCCTTCCTTTCCAGTAGTCATACTAGCTTTGTTTTCATGTCTTGAGCTAGTTGTTTACAGAGTAGACAGAGTTCTTCGCTTCCTCTTCCTGAGGATAGTTTTAAATACAGCACCCTTGTCCATAGCAATTTTGGTTTGATGATGTCTCACGCCTTTAAAGACAGTGTATTTGCCCCCTCTCTTTGAATCAGATGTAGGCAAGTCATAGTCTCACCGATCCAGTACTGTGCAGTGCATTTTTTGTTATAAAGTGTGCCCTGAAAGCCTATTAATACATGTTCTTTCTTTTCTCCCTTAGACAAACTACTTGTTTTTACTGTAGCAACTAAAGAAACTGATGGCTTTCACCGTTTCATGCAAACTGCAAAGCACTTCAACTACACAGTAAAGGTATTGTATGTTTTTGTACCAAATAGTTACTATACAGCCTTTAAGACAGAAACAGGGCAAGAATAATTGAAGTTGCATTAGCTTTGTCACATGCTGGGGCAAAGTAAAAAAGTTGCAGAGCTTGGGGGTGGGTAAGGCATTTGCACATGGCCCTGCTGCTGTCTCTGTTGCTTACCTGCTGGTCCCCTTATGAATAACCATGAGAGGATGCTTCTTCCATTGCCTTAGGAAGTTTTTTGCAGATTAGCAGGTATTGTGGTCAGGTCCTCAGTCATTTACAGGTTCTGTCATGATTTATCATATAGCCTTGCTTTTCAGTTCAATATTTCTGGAAGCTGCACTGCACTCAGAGGGCTTTGGGTCCTCTTTCTCTTTAAACAGGGCTGGATT